TCGCATGTTTCCTGGTCGAGGGTACTCCATGATAGAGCGCACCTTTTCAGGGTCAGGCCTGATACCCTCGCGGTTAATCAACAAACCTAGATATTTAGCCTCAGGCTTGCAGAAGACGCTCTTCTCTCGATTAATCGAGAGTCCGGCTCAACATAACCTATCCAATACGATCTTAAGATGTTGTAGGTGATCTTCGAATTTGGACGATACTACGATGATATCATCCAAATAGGCAAAGGCGAAATCGTCAAGCTCAGGTCCGATCACGCTATCTATTAACCGTTGGAAGGTGGCGCCGGCGTATGAGAGACCGAATGGCATTCGTACGAACTGGAAATGCCCCAATCCGGGCACGGTAATGGCGGTGATAGGTCGAGATTCGGGTTTGAGTGATATTTGGTGATACGCGCTACTGAGGTCAAGTGTAGAGATATAGCGTGCGTCTCTCAAGCGCCTTAATATCTTGCCTAAACGGTAGGGGATAACCGTTTGGCTCGGTGACCTTGTTGACCTTCCTGAAATCTATGCAGAATCGATATGAGCCACCTTTCTTGCGTATTATGACCACGGGGCTCGACCAGCCGCTATCCGCTGGCTCGATCACGCCTTGGTCTAACATCTCCCTTACCAATTTATACATCTCTTGTTCGACCTTGTGCGACATTGGATAGTAGCGCTGCTTGATCGGTTTCGTATCACCGACTCGAATCTCGTGTTCAATGCCTGCAGCACATCCCAGTCCCATGGGGGCCTGCGATAAGGCCTCGCCGATGGTCCTCTGCAATATCGCCTGTTGAGAGGCTGTCACCTCGGTTAGTCCGATCGTAGCTAATCTCGGACCAGCCTCCACGCTAGCTACCTCTAGCTTCATCTTGGTTTGTGATTTCTTGAACAGCAACTTATTATCGTCGGGGTCAAGTACCGCTCTAAACAGTCTAACAAAATTCATTCCTAGGATACATTCATCGACAAGGGTTGGGAGGAAAGCTACCCTCGTCGGCATTGTCATATTCCCCACGGTGAACGGCAACATGTCGTGACCAACGATCGTTAACTGACAACCATCCGGTAGTCCTGCCGTACCCGCGTAGGTGGTATCTAACCTGATGCCTAGCACAGACGCTATCTGCAGAGCATTACTACCTATTGCCGTGGTAGAAACTCCCGGATCATAGAGAGCCCGTATCTGGAAGTCTCCTATTTTCCCCGGCAGCCACCAGGGCGTTTTCTGTTCCGGGGAATATTGCGAAACAGAGTCGGCGGCTCCACAGCCTTGCTCTTTGCACACCATAGCGCTAGCCACTGTGCTCTCGCGTGGTAAAGTGACGCCACTTGTCGTTCGAACGACCTTGGTTCGGACGATCGGAGTTTCCATGGGGATATCCTTTGACGGTTTATCTGCCGTTATCCGCGCCCCCGAGGGCGTGCGCGATCCATTCGCCACCACCTCGGCCGGTCTAGGGTCTTGGGCTTTACTAACGTCAATACCCTCTCTCTCCGTGTTCACTTTACCGCCACGTTCATCATTGGCGCCACCAGGGGAGTTCTCGCTCTCGTCGCTCGACACGCTCCCTACTATCGGTGCTGACTATGTTGGCGAAGGCACCGAGATTTCGTTTACGTGGTTTATTTTATGGGATGAAGGAATAAAGGTTTACCCCACCTAACCACTCCTTTCCTCGTTTTCCTTGTTGCATTGGGTACAGTACTTTTTGCTGTACCCCAATAACCCGCACTCGATGCACTTGAGTGGCTTGGAGAAGTCTCTCTCCCGTCTTCGAGGAGTTTCCGGCTTCCTAGTGCGGTCTTCCGAGGTCAAGTTTTTCTCAACGAGGTTGTGCTTCATCCCTTCAGATATCTCCTTGAGAGATGATAGCACTTGGCTCAGCAGATCGGCGCGTGGAGCCTTCTTTTCGCCATCAACTGCCTCTAGGCTCGGACTAGGTGTCGCGCCTGAGGGCGTCGGTGTGTAGACGACCTGGTGCGTCACCTTCTTGAGTACTTTCTCCATACGGTCCAACCTGTCGCTGTCCTCCGGCTTATCACTGGACATCGATGCCACTTTGCCCTTGCGGCCCTTGCTTCCATCGGTGCGAGGGTGGTACGCTAACTCCGGGTACAGAGTTGATTGTGGGTCAGGTACCACCCGTTCTGACTTTTTCTGGTGCAAGCTGTTCTGTGCCGCCGTGGCCAGCTCATTCAGGGTTCGTATGGAGTTCACTTCAGATCTCCGCACCTGGCCCTGAATGTCCGGGAGAAGGTTGGCGTGCAGCAGATCCAGTTGGCAATCAGGCGTCATTTGAGGGTTCAGCCGCTTCATCAGGCCCATCATGTTGGTGATGTAAACATTTACGGGTTCGTCGGGGCCCTGATATCGGCTCTGAATTTTCCTCATCAGACGCTGTTGCTGCTGCACACTGGTCCCAAACCATTCCCTTGCGTCCATCTCGAATTCGGCGTAGGAGAGCCATTCCTCCTTCATCGCCTCGTACCAGATGAGGGCGGGACCGACGAGTAGCTCCGATACCGTTAGAAGCATCTCGTCTTCCGTGAGTCCCGCGCCGTTCCTTAAGTTGTGCAGCTTAGACAGGAAGGTATCAATACTCGCATTGCCCTCTCCTGAAAACTTCAGTTTCCATTCTCGGACAATGCGACCAACATCCCTTGTAGTCGACCAAGGGTTTGTTGTCTGCTGAGATGACCACGTGCTCGGTGGGTGGTTATTCACTTCAGCATTAACTCCACTGAGTTGATGCTGTCCACCCTCTCCGAAAGGGAGCGTCCGGCGGAGGATTCTGCCGGTGGTCCCCGTGAGCCTCTGTCCGGGTCCAGCTGGAGTACTGTGAGGTAACCTAGTGTCGTGATGGTAGGTGAAGATATTTTGGAATGCTACGCTCCTACGCGTGTTTTCTTGTTGTCGCGTTTCGCTAGAATTATTCGCATTATCTTGCTGTACATTCCTGTTTTCGGCATTTTCCAATGCGCTCTTTCTGGCAGATAGGTCGTCCAGTTGGCTCTTAACATTGCTGCAGTTGTTGTATATCTGGTCTAATACTTTCGTTAGACTCGACACGTTTACTCTTAACGAGTCTAGCAGCTCGAACTTCTTCTCATTTTCTCTGGACCGGAAAATGAGGTCTTGGATCATTACCGCAAATGCCGGCGGGTGTTGAAACTGGCTACCATCATTAGCCGTTATAGTATTATACTTATTACTGCTAGTACTCTCGCTGTCGTCCAGTACGTTTGTGATGTTTATCACTGTTTCCTGAATCTGCGATATCACCTCTGCACTTTGCATTAACTGAGCTAGCGGGTGTTCACCTTCTTGTTCGGATGCTGTGTGTTCCACGCATATGGATACTATGAGCTCCGAGCGTAGGGCTGCTCTTCTTGCTGGACTGCTGTGTTGGTTGTCGACTTTAACAATAATAAATAATAAATAATAATTAATAAACTCTAACAACCAAATTTGCAGTCGTCCAGCTCTCGAGAGCTTATTCTCGCTTGTCTCGAGCTCCAAGTGTTCGAGGTATTCGTTTATTTCCTCGTCTTGGAGCGTCAACGCCCAGTCTTCGACCTCTTTTTGAGAGCAGTGCATTGTTAGTTATGTCCATCTGTTAGTTATGTCACGACTAGTTTTTGTACAGATTTACACGCTTGTTTTACAGATGATGCGAGTGCGAATGCTATATTTAATATTTACAAGCAAACACGCAAAAATTTAGACTTTACTGGCCGATAATAGTCTCAACAACGGATTGAGTTGTGTTTACCGAAAGACTCTTTGCTCCCTATTGCGCAATATAATGATCCTGCCTATCAGGCGCACTAACTGTTTGTTAGCGCGGCTGTGTTGGTTAGTATCTAAAATCCTATAACGAGCGTTTATATGCGTAGTCACCAATAACCGTAGCTAGCAATATTTAAAAAAAAATACATTTACATTAAGACAACACTATATCAAATAAAACTATTAATTTGAGTTTCTTTTGTTTGAATGTTGCCGGTGTTAGTTTTCCCCGGGCCAACGGGTACAATATTATTGATTTGCGGCAACTTTCAAAACCTATTGGTGTTTACGCTTAGGCTAAAGAGTCGTTCGGTCGCACTCGCACGCGTTTACAACGACTGTTTACAAATTATCGTCGCGGCGGGCCTTCGCAAGCTAACTAACAGAGAGGCGATGTTTACTATGTGGCTTTTAACTCAAAGTGTGCGCAACACTTTGATTGCCACCTAAGTCGCTGGTTGACTGAGCGCAAGGTCAATGTTTAAAACTGGCGTTTTGAACAATCATAAACGCTGTAGGTTCTTTTACGTTGGGCGCCATGTGACCGTCGTATTATTTATGCGCGCGATCACGTCGAAGAGCGCGCGGGATTATCTACACGTTTAAATTCGATAATCGGAGAGCAGGAGGGAACGGGTGTCAGTCAACCAACTTTCTACTAGCACGAAATAATAACATCAAAGTTACAATCAATATCACATTCGAGATCGTTTATTACCTCTTATTTCTTCAATGTATTCCGCCCGCGTGTTTATGTTTACAAAGCGCGCGCGCGACAATAACATGCAGTGTCAGATCGGTCGCCGCTCTTTGTTCGCCGAGTTAATACATGCACGCTTCTTATGGTTTTAAAAGTATAAGGAACGGGGAATAGTAGGGTAAATGAAGAGACTCTCTGTGCGATCAAATACAGATTTAATTAGCTCCGTAAACTTGGAACAACCTCCCGAGGTCTGTTACTCATATCGCGTGTCTCTCCATACTGAGGCACTCAGCGCGCTCTCTCGCACTCGACGCTTGCGCCGCTCATGCCGCTGATTCGCAGAAAAAATACATCGGCTCATTCCAGATCATTCCAAACATCCTCCCACCTTGAGTCCTTGACTCAATGACACCAAAAATCGTTTATAACGGATGAACGCATACAAATGAGCCTTACAAGATAAACGCTAGATAATACATAAATACGTGTTATATTGAATAAAACTTACTGATAATAATTAGGTTTCTTAACCACACGTCCACTCCTGGTTTTTACTACATTTGGACTAGGTTCAAACTTATTTTCCTCCGCAGCTGTTTTGTCGTTCATCGATTGCTCTTTACCACGCATTAACTCTATTTTTTTTCTATCCTCGCAACCAATTTTCAAAGGGTATATACGCTGCAATGGACGCTTTAAAATTCCGTCTTTGGTTTTCAATACTGCTACTCTAGCTACGCCGTCGCGACCTTGAATCAATTTCTCAATTTTTGCTAAAGGCCAATCAATACGTTTTTTGTTGTCATCGCCGATCAGAACAACCTCGCCGACTTTTATTGAGCGAGACTCTTTTACACTATTACCTTTTAGTATCAACTGACTCAAATATTCCGTGCGAAAACGTTGGCGCAAGTGTTCTATTATTTCTTGCTTTTTTCTATAGCTAGCAGTCAAATTCACTTTATTGATAATATCTAAGTCAGGATTTTCGAAGCCTTTGTTTTCGCGCAGAAACATTGATGGAGTTAATGGTATCAAATCGTTCGCGTCTTCGGAAACATAGGTCAAGGGTCGCGAATTTATTGTATTTTCGCAGTCGCAGAGAACTGTACACATTTCTTCATATGTGAGACAACTCTTTCCAAGCACTTTGCGCAAGATGACTTTAACCATTCCAACTAATTTTTCCCACCAGCCTCCCCACCACGGTGCCGAGGGTGGATTAAAGTGCCACGTTATTCTCTGTGCTGAGCTATACGTCTCTATGACTTTCCAATTAAGATTTGATAACGCAGAATCCGCTCCAACAAAGTTCGTTCCGTTATCACAATAAATATCGACCGGACGTCCACGACGATCGATGAAGCGACGCAACGCCATCAAAAACGTCATTGTCGATAGAGACGTAACTAATTCTAGATGTACCACACGGTATACGGCACATGTGAAGAGACAGATCCAGCCCTTTTGCTGCCCACGAAGGAATACAGGTCCTGCTAAATCGACTCCGATTACTTCAAAAACAGCACAATCTCTTACGCGATTGAGTGGCAAAGGAGGTGGATCTGCTTGCATTGGCTTTACCGAAAAACGTTTACAAATAATGCAAGTCGCAATTACCTTTCTCACTGTCTTTCGCATGGCTAGAATCCAAAATCTCTCTCTTAATCGACACATCACAGTCTGTACACCTGCGTGGTTCATTTTTTCATGTTTTTCTAATATAATTAGCTCTACAATTTTGTGATTATTGTGTAATAGAACTGGATATAAAAAGGGAAATTTATCATTTCGTGCGCTAATTTTTGTCTTCAATCGTAATAAACCATCAGTGTGTACAAAAGTTTGCAAAACTTTTAGCTTCGGATCTTTTTTGGGTAAAAACATTGTTTTTTGTATGCAAGTTAATAATTTACATTCTACACTACGTATTTCTCTGGGCGATATATATTTGTCTTGTACCGCTTTTTTACTTATGAGAAAATTCTTGAATCTAAGCATTATCGTATAAAATTTTATTAACTTCACGTACGACGAAAATTTGTTTATGATACTGAAATCAACTTCTCCACATAACATCGATATTTGAGCTGATTTCTTCATTTCACTGTTTACCTCCTCTTCGTTTGTCGTGTCTATTGTATTAGGCCAAGTTTTAGAGGACTCGCGTAACCAAGGCGGCCCCTCCCACCAACGCGATTCGAGCAGCTGTGTAGCCTGACATCCGCGCGACGGAAGGTCAGCTGGATTTTCCGTACCGGGCACATACTGCCACTGCCAAGACGCTGATAGTTGCCGTATTTCCTGAACGCGATTCCAAACGAATGTGCCCCATTGGCTATCTCTCTGTAGCCACGCTAAGACAGTCGTCGAGTCTGACCAGCAGAAGATCGGTACGTTCCCATAGTGCAAAGCGTTCACTATCTCGGCGGTCTGACGGCTAGCAATCGATGCGGCCAAGAGCTCCAATCGCGGTATCGTTGTTTTCTTCGGAGCGACTCGCGCTTTCGCGGCAAGTAGCCTAAGCTCTACGTGAGTCTCGTTCTCGACGCGCAAAAATATAACTGTGGCGTACGCCGTCTGACTTGCGTCTGCAAAAGTGTGCAGGGATAACGTGCCTGATCCGAGTTTCCTTGGGATTTCTATCTCGCTCAAATGCGTTAATTGCTCATACCACAATAAAAACTCTTTTTCTGAGTTGTTATCAACTTGAACATCCCAATCGACATTCAACTCACACAATTTTCTCAAAATTAACTTCGGTATTAAGGTTACGGGAGCGGTAAATCCGATTGGATCAAAGACTTTATGCGTTGCTGAAAGAATTTTTCTTTTTGTTATCTCCTTGTTATATTCACCAAGTAAAATGGGATTGATTGACAAAGTATCGCGTAATTTATTAAACGAAATACCGAGTACTGGAGTCATTTCTTTCTCTTGGCCGTCGCCCGTATACTCCCACCCTCTCAATTCGAAACTGCCTTTTCTCATCATTTCTTTAGCTTCCGTGATGAAAGAGATTAATTCTTCGGCTGTTTGAACGCTCGTGATACAGTTATCGACGGAAAACGATCGCGTCAATTTTTCAATATTTTTACTCGACCATAAATCGAGAAAACACTTTGGAATCGTATGCAAAAGGTGATACTCCAAGACTGCTCCTAACAAAAATGGACTACAGGTCAGACCGAAAACTACGCGCCTGTGGCGTAAAACTGTCAGTTTTCCATCTAAGAACCACAGAAAACGTAGGTAGTCTCGATCTTTCGGACTGATTTCTATTTGTAAGAAAGCCTTGCGAATATCCGCGATTACTCCAATCTCATTTTCGCGAAACCTGAGTAGTGTCGCCGGAATCAACTCAATCAGATTCGGTCCCTTTTCTAAGCATTTATTGAGAGGAGGGTAACCCTTTTCACTAGAGGACGCGTCAAACACGGGGCGAACTGCAGTAGTGCTGTCTGTTTTTACTACCGGACGATGAGGCAAACAGTGAGAGAAAAAATCAAGCTCCTTTTCGGGTACAACTTCAATGATACCTTCATCGAGCCATTCCATCAAAACATTATTGTATTCATCATATAAATTGATCTTTTAGAGTTTCTTTACCGTGCTTTCTAGCCTACTCTTACATAACTCAAAATTACTCGAGACTGGAGGATGGTCATCATCCCACGGCAAATCAACACTATAACGCTCGTCTTTGTAAGAAACAGTATTCATAAAATTTTCTCTGATAGTTTGTTCTCTCGCAAGTTCGTTGCCTTTTTCTATTGGATCTCTTATCCCAAGAAGGTCTAACTCCCACAAGTTTGATACTTTCGCTTCGTTGACAAACATGGATACAACGTTCAAAGTACAATCTTCTCTCTTACTACTTGGCGCTCTGCCCATAATCATCCAACCTAAGCGTGACTCGAAAGCAGTTATACCATTTTCCAAATCATATTTTTTGCCGGTAAAAAGTTTTCCTGCAATATCAGCACCTATTAAAACATCGATCGAATTATCGCTATAAGTGGTGTCAGCTTCCAAGTCAGAGAGAGAAATATTGTGTTTTTTCAAATCATCAAGCCAATCAACTCGCTTGATACGTGGTATATCCGCGCAGATAGTTTTCTCGTCCATTACTTGAAAATTGCACGCGTATGTATCGTCCAGGCTTCTCATACGAACCGAATAAAGGTTATGCACTTGTGTATCGGATTTCACCCTTCCGAACAAAGCATGCGTCACTTCGCGCTTTCCAACGGGTTGATATCCCAAAAACTTTGCCGCGTCAGAGCGAATGTACGACCTCTGTGAGCCTTGGTCGACAACTACGCGTGCAACCTTCTCTCTCGTATCAGAATATATCACGACGCGCAATGTTTGTAAATAGACGTCAGGCGCACTGCAAAAGCTGGCGAGAGTTTGCTCCGGTCGCGAGCTTTTCACGGTAGCATCGTTCTTTCGCTCGCTCGGATCACTCGGTTCTTTATCTTTATTCAACTCCCGACAAACAAGAATGTGATAACGATTTCCGCACCAACCGCAAATTATTTTAACCTTGCAATTTTTCGATCGGTGATTCGGTATAAGACATTTAAAACAACAATTTTTATCTTTCATTATCTTTTTCCGATCTTCAAACGACATCTTTTTCGCTTCCTCGCAATTCGCGCTACCGTGACTTTCGCCGCAGAATACACATTTCGTACCTTTGTGTTCGCTCGACAAGAGCGCGCTCGCAGTTGCTGGCTCCTTCGACGAAGTCCCCTTGTTTTCCTTTTGTTTACCTTCTTTCGGCTTCTCCTTCTTCTTATCCGACGCTACAGCGAAATGAGTGACCGCCATGTTGATTCTCTCCTCGTTCGTCACCTCGGTCTTCAGAAATTCTAATAACTTCGTCAAACGGTCTGAAACCGGAGCTCCCTCTTGTCCTTGGTTTCCGTTGTTTGTTGACGAACTCAAAGGCGAGCGTTGCCACGTTCGCAGAATTTCTTCCGGGAGAGACGACTCCACAAGCGGGTAGAGCATCGTCGCACAATTGTCCGTTTTGACACCCAGCGTGTCCAGAGCGCGAATGTGAGCTGAAAGTCGGTCGTAAATCGATGCAATATCCGATTGCTCTTCTTTTTTCTTAGTGGCATTTTGTATGGCCAAGGTTAACAATTCCCTGGTGTAATACTCAATTAGTAAGTCGTCTCGTCCATAACGATCTTTTAGACTCTCGAAAGCTGAATCGTAATTCTCTGCCGTGGTCGGAAAACCGTGTACGATCACAAATGCCTTGGAATCGACTGCCATCATGCCTTTCAGATATTCCAGCTTGTCTTCCTTGGAAAGCACGGGATCCTCGTGGTATTTGCGAAAATGTGACCAAAACTGTAGCCACTTATGGACTCCTCCGGGGTATTTCGGCACCTCGAGTGTAGGACACTTGTACGGCTTGTCACTGCGATGTACTTGTTGATTAGCACCAAATTCGCTATTTCCCGTACGTGTTGCACTAACACCACTCAGATATTTCACTCTCGCTTCCAAAAACTTCTTTTGGTATTCATCGTGAGACTCTATCTCCTTCACGAGAACGTCGTCATCAACCGCTTCGTTCGATAACAATTCAATGTATTTTGCATTTGCGTTTTCAAGCTCTTGTACTCTGGTCTCGAGCATCTGTAGAGCGACATGCCTGTCATCGGCTGTAACAGTAGCGTTGTTGCATTTCGCGACAAAAACGTTGAGGCACTTTGTGAATAAAGTGCGTTGCACCGTTCTTTGCTTTTTCGCGACGTCCATCTTTGAGGTTATCTCGAACGCCGCGGAAGCTTTTCAATAATTACTCCCTCCCGCGTCCTGTCACGGTCGCCAGATTTTAAAAGTATAAGGAACGGGGAATAGTAGGGTAAATGAAGAGACTCTCTGTGCGATCAAATACAGATTTAATTAGCTCCGTAAACTTGGAACAACCTCCCGAGGTCTGTTACTCATATCGCGTGTCTCTCCATACTGAGGCGCTCAGCGCGCTCTCTCGCACTCGACGCTTGCGCTGCTCACGCCGCTGATTCGCAGAAAAAATACATCGGCTCATTCCAGATCATTCCAAACATATGGAGTACGAAAGATTAGTGAATAGCAATCATAGCAATCGCGAAACTAAGCCGGCCAGCTTACCTTATTAGCAGTCGCACGGAGAACGAGAGAAAAAGTTCGCACTCTAGGTGCGGGAAAGTCTGTCTTTGTCACGAGATATCTCGCGTTTTCGGTTTCGCCCTCGATGGCGAAACACCTGACTCACGCACTCGCTCTGGTCTGGCTCAGGCACAGCTCCTGTCGATCCTTATCAGTTGACTCGTCTTAGCACTCCAAGAAAACTCGGGAAAAACTCTAATTGTCACTAGCAGCAGCTGAGTGTGCGGGTTCTAATCTTCAACTGGTTCATTTTCATACGCGCGCGTTCTGTCCCGTCGCGTGCCGAATTTCCTCATTACATTTGCCTCAACCGATAGGTGCTGCCCTCGCAGGCAGCCGCATGGTTGGGCTTCAAAAAATTCAAATATCAATAGTTTTAAAAATTTCAGCTGTACGTCTCCTAACTAGGATATTCCACTATAAAACAAATATAGTAAGATATGTAAAATACATATCTTTTGTTTAGCTGGTATATACGTGTATACATATATATATATATATATATATATATATATATATATATATGACGCATTTTGCGTCAACTCGACCACCGAGCTTCGACAAAATTGACAGCGTCCTAAAAAATCCCGCGACGGCTCAAAATGTTCGTCTTGACAAGTACTTTCGAAATAACTTTGGCGATTTTGAAATTTTAAAATGGCGGATACAATATGGCCACCGAAAGTTAGTTTCCTCGGGTTAACTTTTTACGTTTTCGGTTACAAAACTTGCAATTTTATTGCTATTTACTTGCAAACTTGTAATAAGGGGTATTTTTGGTCAGTGAATTCGAATCCGTGATCAGAGTTTCGAAATTCAAAATGGCGAATCCAGTATAGCGCCGCGGGACCCGGAAACCCGAGCTAAGCCGAGAGAAAATTAACGAAATAGACTTGACATACATATTAGGGGGTTTTGGAGGTCGCTGAACCTGAATCCATTGTCATATTTTCGAAATTTAAAATGGCGGATCCAATATGGCGGTTCGAAAATAAAAACAAAATCGAATAAATCGATGAACCTCGTTGAAACTATGTATACAGAGGTTTTCAAGGTCGCTGAACACGAATCCATTGTCATATTTTCGACATTTAAAATGGCGGATCTAATATGGCGCCGAAGTAATATGAATATCCTGCTAAATTTTTTGAAGTCTATCAAAAGCGATTGGTATTTATGTATAGCAGTATTGAAAGCCATCAAATACAAATTCGGGGACAGATATTCATAATATAAAATAACTTATCCTTATGCATGACATACCAACCAAAAATTTCATAATGAAAATATAGTCAGTTCATGTATGTTCGTCTTAAAAAAATTCTTTTTATATTTTCATCTTCAAAATAGGGGGGGGGTCATTGTTCTCTTAAAAATACATAACAGATTTTATTAAGAGTTTCATATAATCATTTTAAAAAAGTGTCATTATTTCTTACCTTTCTATTGTAGATGAGTGAAAAGCTCTCTGCGTTTAACAAGATTGAGACTGTCATCATACTCAGTGCATCAAGCCCGAATTACTTTTTTTTTGTTTTTTTTTTCATAATTTTTGATTATATTTGCTGAGAAATCGATTGTCTCTTTTCAATTTTGGTGTATCACTGTCGCTACAGGTTTGTGATCTCCCGAAGATTTGAATATTTTCAAAGTTTTTTCTGGTCCAACAATAAATGCATGTGAACTTTGGATCTACGGTACTGCTAGAGCTTTTGAAAATCTTTTTGATAACTTTCTTTGTGTTCTATTATGCATTTCTTTACTGTAATAGAATACTTTCAAATTTTCAAATTTCGCTGCTGCCCACTCGTACAAAGCTTTCGAGTTTAGTATGGCTTCTGTTGGTTTTGCCTGGAGACTAGTTCGAACTGCCTCTTTTTTGAATATCGCTCCGACACCATAGCAAGCACCTTTTCCATGAGCCGTTGCATAGCAATGCCATTCTGCTTTTATGCCAACGTCCTCGTGGTGATGCATCAGGTTGCACATTTGAAACTTATTTTTGTAATGCTGCTTAGCACCATCACTAGCGTAAATTATTTTCTTAACATTAGGACACACTTTCTTTATTTCTGGTATCATTATCTCTTGAAACATGTTTACTGATGCTGCATCATGGGTCGTGCTTTCAGACAACCCTATCAAACTTTGATGTTCAATCGTATCACAATTTCTATAATAAAAAATGCTAACGTGAACTGTGGATTGATCATTATTAAAATGGAATGCTTGAGCGGCATTTTGAACAACGTATTTCAAATTTTCAGAAAAGTCCGTACCAGCTAATACTTCTCTTGGTTTCAACTTCTGTTTCAGTTGAGATAGATAAGCCGATTGATTTTTTGAAATAAAATGATGAGGCAATAATTTCTGTAATTGTGTGCACATTTCAGAGATAAAGTCTTTTGCAGGTAAACATTGCTTTATCAGTGTACACCTATCGGTTGACTGCCACACGCTGAAAATGACTTCCGCAATATCTCTTTCTTCTAGAATTTCCCGCACGTAATCATGAAAAGATTCAATACCTGGGCAAGCTGTACAATTTCTTAAATAACAATCAACTATCGGTTCTTTGCACATAATAACTGAAAAACAATCATTATAATTTTTAATTGGGTATCTCAGCCCAAGCGTTATCCTTTCCAAATCAGCAGCCTCTACCATATTTTTGAAATTTTCACGAATAGTGCAAACACATACACTATGTGTACCTTTGACTCCAGCCAGTTCAACGTATTCTGGTCGAAGCTCTGAAAATTTGGTTAGTCCGATGGGATTATTCGGATACAATTTCTTAAATTCTCTATGTAAACACGCTATATCATATAATAATACTCGCTTTGTTTCCAATTTTTTAGTTTTATCTTCTGATATTACAAGGACATTTTTCAGATTTGGCATTAACCGGCTATTCAAATCACTTGTATAGAAATCTATCGCCAATTTCTTCGTATCATTTGGTAAAGGTTTCCCTTTCTTTAATGCTGGTTGCGCTAATACTCCTTCTAATTCCCTTAGTTTTTTAGCTTTGATTGCCATATGCCTAGTCGTTCCGAATTCTTTAGCTGTTTTACGAGTACTCCATTCCTCGGGAGCAACTGTTAAAATTGATAAACACAGAGGATCTGTTTTTTCTAGCGAATTGAATTTCTCTTTCAACCCATCTAACATGTGTTCTAGTTCAATTTCTCTTTCCGACTTAGCACCTTTATTATCTACTAAGTCTTCATTTGCAGATGGATGTACGTCTGACCTGGCTGTTACATGTGATTTATGCACATTTGCAACTTTAGCAGATGGCTCAGATGAATTTTGACGCGTAGATTCTGACAAATTGTCTCTGCAAGTTCTGCAAACTTTTGCTTTATTAGTTATATGTGGGTACTCTTGGAGAACAGCTTTTGATATCTTACGTAAATCGATCCCAACATGGCCCGTTCGTCCAAGCGGATTAGCACATCTATCTGACCGGATAGTTGACATAGTTTGAGAATCAAATATTAAAAAAAGTTATTTTATTTTCGGACAACTATTTCATGATTTTCCTATTATTATGTTAACTATTTCTACCAACAGTGTCATCAATACTCAATTTTTTTATATTTTATTATTTTTTTGTCTTTTATGTGATATTTCCTAAACTTTAATCTGTACTCAAAATAATCTAATAAAAGCTATAACTTAAAACAACGTGATATTGAAGTTTCTTATTTAAATCATATTTGAAAATCAATAAATATTTGGTTGTAAAATAAACTCACTGTTTTATAATTCAATGTTATTATTACTCAATCCAGCAAAAATAATTCCAATTTGCGAGTATTAAAATCACACTCATTCTGTCAATTTTTTTTGATAATATGACCTCTTTCGTTGTGAAAAATAAAATATATCACATAATTTGAAATAATGTAGAACATGTTAATTAAAAATTTTAACAAATAATTTATTTTATGTATGGAATAAAATCATTCGCTAACTGATGTCAATACCTGATCTTTTTTAAATCTTCGTTGAATGGTGGAAAAATTTTGAAAATTGTATTCTGTTGGAGTGTATAAAAATCGTTATTTTCTGTAACTCTACTTAATTAATACGTTATTTATTTTCTAATCAAACCGTTAATGACTATTTTTCAATGCAATACTAATATTTTTATTTTACAAGCACTTCAACCGCATTCAATATTTGTATGCCACTACCAGACTTTGCAAATCCACTATGTTACCATGTTAATATTGTCACGTGTGTGTACTTCCCAACACAGCGACTTTAGTATATAAGCTGACGCAGCATGCGTATGGCGAGGTGCAATAAGAAGCTCTGATTAATACAGGTGCACGGTGGCGGCCGTGGTCTAGTGGTCAAGACGTCAGACTTGCAAGTCCGGGGCTGTGAGTTCGAGTCCCCGTCTCGTCACTTTTTAATTTAGTTTTAAGGATTTATATTCACATGTAAAAATATGAACAATATAGTTTGAACCATATTGTTGAATATCGGGGCAGTTGTATATAAAAGAGTAAATAAAATTATATAGACTGAAAATGCCGAAATGTATAACATATAAGCTCTATTTATGCTCTATTTATGAAATTTTCAATTTC